AGGTGTGACTTAAAATTAAAAAAAAATTATATTTTTCATACTTCGATAGGTTATACCTTTAAAAAAATAAATTTTAAATCGATATCTCAAATAGCTTTTGAGTTACAGCCTTCTAAAATGTTGTCGCTTAGATTAATCAGTTCTATTATTATATCTTTCAAAGCATTTTTCTCAAAACCACATTTTTCAATTTAATCACTCAATTAGCTTTCAAAAACGATCGAGATGTTCAATAAAATTCAACTTTTTTTAAACGACGTCGTTTTGTCGATTTTTGATTTTTTTTTCGCCCGTAAGTCATTGTACGGTAAATACCTTTTAGTGAATAATTTTTTTTAGGTTTCATCCACGGAGAAGGCCGGAATTACTGCAACAGTCGCGGTATAACTTGCTACATCGCGTATAACTTGAAAAATATTAAATTTTTTTCTAAAATTTTTTTGCTGTTTATTCTGAAAAACAAAATGTATACATATACCCTTTTGTTTTTGGCTGTCACACTAGGCTATTGATAAAAGTAAATTTGCCAGTTTTATCCGCCTCTCCTGCAAAATTTAACTTACATTTAACTCAAAACGTTGCCAATGGCCATTACGCGACCAATGAGGACCTTCATACTATTTTATCACCCTAACTTCATTTACATTTCCACCCGCATCGGTACTCTAGCTAGTCCTTAAGATTCTCATCTCTACCCAAACAAACAATTCTACTCCTCACTTCAGTTTTTTATCGACTAAACAACGTTTTTCCTTCAGACCACGTTACACCACAGTTATAAGCATAATTTAGTTCAAACGCTGCTATTTCTTCGCATGACAACTTTCTCCTTTGATGTTTTGCTGTTTTTGATTTTACTTAGTTTGATTTTAACCATAAATATTCTGCACAAATCCTATTAAAAGCAGTGTGCGCATTTGCCTGCGTTCTTATGCATGTTCCGCCAGCGCTAACGTTCAATGACGCCTTGACCTTGAACACTTTAAATGCTTTCCGTCGCACCGCCGCCACTCACCATCTCTTCAACTTTGTGGTGCGTGCAGAAAACTTGAAATAAATATGCATGTAATGGCTGCAATAATGCAATTTTGACATTAAATGTCGTGCGTCATGACGTATGAGTAACCAACTCCATATTAAATACGCAGCGTACAAGTGTGTGGTCTACAGGGCGTATGAGTAAGTAAGTTCGCAGTGCATTCAATATATGCTGTGCACATGTGTATGTGGGCATCAATCACTTAGCCGAGTAATGTATTTATTGACACTCACTTCACCGCCATGGTGAATTGCCTCACTTTTTGTTGTTTGTGCGCTTAAGTGGCCTTTGAGTGAAGTGCCTTCGGATAAGTGGAGTATGGAATGACGTGGCAATATTAATAATCAATTGCATAGAAGATAGAGATATAATTAAGAAAGCAAGAAAAAATGTATTGTCATCACAAAACATCTTTCCAATACAAATTAAATGCATTTCATTTTGAAATTACTATTATTTACTTTGTACAATTGTTCATCACCCTTTAAAATTTTTGTTACATTTTCATCTATATTTGTGTCTGTATTTACTTTGCCATCAGTGCATCGCGTATTTAAAAGGCATTCCACAAGTGTGTCTTTTCACGTTGGGTCAGTGCCAAAAATATATAATATTTGCATTTTTCGAACAATTTAACTTCATACACAGTAAAAGTTCACTGCCTGCGGCTATTATATAAACACAAAAAGCAAATTGTGCACTTGTACAAATAAATGATGTACAAATATTTCAAAGTTAATTATATATGTTTTTTCCATTTAAATGTCGGTAATAAATAATATGATAAGTAAATATACAATAACGGTTCTTGAAAAAATTTTCAGTGTGTATTTTTATTCGATTTCGGTTTTACTTAGAACTGAAATACAGAAATATATAGAAGTACGTCCACTATTAATATCATACAATATATAAAATAATTACACCCTTAACAAGGTAAAGTTCGCCACAAAGTTTGTAATAGCCAGAAAGAAAAGTCGGGGACTATTTAAAATATAAATATAAAATAATATAAACGTGAAGAGCTGAGTCGCACTTCCTTGTTAATTCATCAGCTTTGCACTTGCCTACAAATCCGGTATGGCCTAGTACCCAAAATAGTCTTATCCAGAAATAGCCGGATGCCGTTGATAGTGAGGTTAGGCATTCCTTAACCAGCCTTGAGCGCATGAGCATTGAGTTGAAGACTAGTATTGCCGCTCTACTATCGGAGTGGATAGCCACTTCCCGAAGCTGCGCTCCGGAGTAGTATTTCAATTGCTATTTTGACGGCAGCAACCTTCGCTAGAAAAACTCTACAATATTCAGGAAGCCTGAAGTTGGAATTGATGGATAGTTCTCGACTGTTGAACGCTCAGCAGTTTCTGAGTGTAAATGTTGCCTTTTCTAGGGCTTTTCACCACACAAAGACCCCGTAGAACAAAATTGGCTAATGAAATGAAGTTTTCTTAAATAATGAGTGCTCCATTTTCTGCATAGGCAACCACACTGAAGGCTCGTAACTAAAGTTACCATAAACTAGAGTAGGGGGAAATAATTTCTCCTTGTGAGCTGCCATTATTGAAGTTTAGATGAGAGCCAGCGCTACCGTATAACATCGCGACCTTTTATTCCAAAGAACTCTATCAATCAGCCTCTGAGATGTTTTCAGTAAATAAGGAGGAGAGGTTGATGGGCCTAAAGTCTTTGATTACACAAAACTGTGTATCTGATATACTGAACCGGCCTTAAAAATTTTTTGAAATACTTAAGATAAAATTTAAAATAGAAGCACATTTAAGTAAATTGATTTTAAAAATGAGAGAATCAGGAAGACAATTTTGTTTGAACATACTATACACTATATATTATACTATACATACTATAACTATCATTCTAAAAATTACTCATTCAAGAAGGCAAACGATGAGCTTGAAATATTCGCAAGAAAATCAAATTTCAGCGTTAAGCAACATCTGGTATCAGGGGCATATTTATTGTCTAGCTCTGAAAGCACTTTTGTGGTAGATATAAGGAGGGATCTATTCTATCTAACCTCATCCGCCATCAAATCTACCGTTTCCACGCGAGTCAGCTCACGTAAACGGGAGAAACTCGGATCAAAATTCGACTGAAAAATCGGCAGCATTCTTAACAATTTTTTTTTCTGCTACAACATTTTGGTGATTTCCTATATATACAGCGGAAAATGTATTTTGCGATGAATAAAGTCTTATTCAGTATTTATACCCAGAACAGGGCATATTAAGTTTGTCAGGAAGTTTGTAACTCCCAAAAGGAAACCTCGGAGCACTATACAGTATATATATAAATGAACGTCGTGACGAGCTGGGTCGAGTTAACCATATTTGTCTATCCGAACGCGAACTCTCTTCTCTCTCTGTTTTTGAAATATCGATCTGAAACACACGCCCATTTCTCCCCAAGAAGCTGCTCATTTGTCGGAACCGTCGATATCGGACCTTGTATGAAAAACATTTTCTTTTGACAAATCTTCTTCCCAAATTTGGCATAAATTACTATTCAAGGCCACGCTACTATTTTCGAAGAGTAGAGATACGGACCACTATAGCGTATAGCTGCCATACAAATTGACCGATCAAAATCAAGAAAAAAGATGAGATCTCTTTATATCCTATAAGTATTACACCTGTGAAGGGTATTATAGCTTAAGTGCAGCCGAAGTTAACGTTTTTTCTTGATTTCTAATCTCTGTTAATTTTATCCAAAAAAATAAATAAAAACTACTACTAAATTTAAACGTGGAACTAGAAGTACTTTTTTAGTAGAAAAACAAACAATAAATTGCATTTATTTACCAGCTATTACGGCACCCTTTTGTTAACATTCCACTAATTATGTCTACCAACTAACTTATGAGTTTACTCATACACAACCTGCCAGCTTAAACCCGGCGACTACCTAGACATTGTAATGTTAAATCAATTGTTTAAACGATGATACGCAAATGACAATGTTTCTTCTGGAAAAAGACCTTTCACACAAAAGCCGGCCTACAATGTAGCTAAAACACACACACATAACTACACTTTGCAACACATTTATATGCAACTTAACACTAGTACAATTATTCTGAGTGGTCATAAGTGCTTTTGAATATTGTCTGCCTCAAACATTTCCACCCGAACAGGTGTTTTGCCGCCTCTTTTGCACATGATACATACGTCTATATGTGTGTAGCTGTATGTAAAGCAATTTCGCAAAACATATTTATGCATATCCGACAAGCTGAGTTGGCGGTTGTTATCGGCTAAAGGGAGAAAGACCTGAGCGCCACTGTTTATTTTAAATAACTCGTCTAAATTTCAATGCTTAGCGCATATACACAGAGACATGTATACAGATATGTACATATTTATGTATGCGTATATATATTATTGTATAACTGTATGTTTGTATATAGCTGAGAAATGTAATACAGAAAAGTCAACACTTGCCAGTCAATTCACACATTCGCACTGTTGGGCGAGTTTTTGACCCAAACGCTTTGTTTTTGCACTGACAGTCGCTGGCACAAACTAACCATATGTATGTATGTATTTGTGTATCTAGAAAGTTGTTGGAACTTTTATTTATATTCGCGCGTGCATTTTGCTACTGCATCTTATATATGTACATGTGTATGTATGTATGTATATGTTTGTGTGTGTGTGTACATCTAATATTGTATAATATTTGTAATAGTGTAGAAGCAATGTGCGAGTCTTCACTTCTCACGTTTTCAAGGATACTCTCTGAAGTGAATTAAAAAATTTTTACTTTTGCTTATAAAATCTATGCCACACTATGCATATTCAAGGTGAACATATATATACATACATATATATTTACACGCACACATACATTTATGCATATATGTGTGTATGTATGCATATGCGGTTATATGTAAATTCAACTGAATAAATATTGACAACAACAACAATAACATGTAACAATATACCACCGAATGCCAACAACTTTATGTTACACACTTTTATTTTATTAGATTTTTTCCACACCGCGCCTATAACTATGCTACTTTACTACAATAACCGTGCACTTATTTACTTCAAACACAGTGCTCTTATAAAAATAGCGATACTTTCAAAACAGCTCAAATCACAAAACAAAAATGTATTCTTATTGCGTTATAAAAGTAATTAAGCAATTATTTTAGTAATCAACGGCCGCATTTGATATCCGCACGGATGCACCCATTGAAAGCGTTATTCACATGGATGGTGGATCTTTTATTTCGTCTGCACTGAAGCTGCGAACGTCTTGGAGCAAACTGACTTGTTGTCGCGCAGCGAGTAGATTACAGTAGTTGTTAGTTGCCGATTTTTGAAAGCTTTCAATTTGAGCTTTTAAAAAGCTGAATGCTTTTTATGCTCTCACTCTGTTTCAGCGGCAAAGCGGTAATACCATGTGCAGTTAACGCTGTAAAAGGTGTTGAATCGCTTTTGAAGTAATTCTTTGTGCTTAAATCATCGTTTATTCTGTAAAAATTTCAGTTTTATGAAGAATGTTAGAGTTGAATTTACGAAACACGACGTCGAAAACCATACGATCTGTCATTCCTCTGTTTTCGATATTTTTTTTTTGTCTTAAATGAATGGATAATATCTAAACAATTTCCGCACAACACACGTTTTCAAAGTCGGTGCCCCTCATAACTCCGTAACTACTGCACAGTATTTTTCTTTTATAATAACAAATTAGCCGATTTTTTACAAAGTGTTCTCGAAAAGTGGAAAACTGTAATTTCTTCCTTTCCAAATTAATTTTTTGATATTCAGGAAAATTTAACGGAATATTCTTCAAATGTGCCCCCCTGGTTTTTAAAAATATATTCTAACTGTTTAATTTTAAAAATCATAAAAAAAGGACTTTGCTTAACACGAATTAACCCTACTCTTCCCTAAATGAACAATTTAGTGCTCGTGCTTCATTTCAATCCTAAATGATGAACTCTCTCCGGACGGAACAAATTACAATTAACATATAATTGGTACAAATTTTTTCGAACACAGTGTATATTTAAAACCTTTAAAATCTGACATTTCACATTTTTATTTCCCAGTGGTTTGTTTTCATTTTTGTTTTGACATTTTGCTGCTCACATTATTCAATAGGACGGTATTTTTCAAGCATTCATATTAATTCTCTGATTTTACTGGGTCAAAGTGCTTTATCTATTAAGTGGCGAGGCCACAGCTGATATCTTCCGCATGAACCCACTCAAGTAACACAAGGTACAATCAAGTTAAAGGGATGACACTTGCGCTACGCCTTTTGCGCCGACCGGCTTATCTCTCCCAAAGTAGTGCATTTACACTGCAGCGGCAACAGTATGCCACCCCTCTAGCCATAGTCATTCGGAAACGAAGGTAAGTCACTGTAATTTACACCTCTACTTCACACGTTATTAAATGATATATATCAAATTTTAACGATTTAATAATCAAATATTTTTAGCAATGCAACGGAGAAACGATCTGTCGAAAAGAAATCACAACTTCCGCCCATCGTTCCGCCTAAAATATATCCCACAGAACCAAAGCATGACCCAACTAAATGTGATGACTCGGAAGATACACAAAGTTGGTCTAAATGGCCGCCACCCGCAAAGGCTGACAAGAAATTATCTTCTCAACGGCTGTCAAGAGAAAACGTCGAGGGTTATATGTTTAAACATTTTTTTGACTATATCAAAAACTATGAAAAATTGTTGGAGAAAAACTTTCCATCGGCCATGAAATTATATCGCACATATGTTGACGGCGTAATGGACTTTTACAACGATATGAAATATTACCTAAAGATAGGTCGCATTGTGAATAATTCACCAATGGGACTGAAAGCGCTCAATCGTAAAGAACTTGAGCTCTATATGCAGATGCCACGCGATATGATGAAAGTTGCACCTGCGTTAATTGTCGTGGCACTGCCGCTGGTCGGTTACGTGGCGATGCCGTTAATGTAGATATATTTGAAAAATAATACACTATCGTACTTAATTAATTTTCCATTTAGTTTTGCGTATCCACAGCTATTTCTATGCTCGCATTTTTGGACACTACAACAACGGGCAGAATTTCAACAAGCGATATTGCAAAGACGGCTGCAAAATAATAAATCTGTTTTCAGAATTCTACAATCGAAACTAAAAGACGCAAAGAAACACGAAAGTCACCAAGAGCTGCAACACATACTGGGTATGTTGGGTAGTGGCTTTCATCCCAGTGTCGAGTCATTGCTCAAAGTCAAAGACATTTTTGTCCAACCGCCATACGATATGCTCTCCCTAAGTAGGAAACAAGTCGTAAGTAGTTTATACATGTTCTTTTTCCATTCAATGTTACAATTATTTGCTTTTTGTAGAAATTGTTGTGTCAATTGCATGGGGTCCCAACGCCTCTGTTCAAACGTTATCACCTTGCGGAACATGCGTTTCTGGTACATAACATGGATTTGGCTATTGTACGCGAAGGACATGTTCATAACATGCATCCGGATGGTATTCGACGATCTTGCTATATACGTGGGCTCAATCCCATTAATCTTAGCCATGAAGAAATGATAGCATGGCTACGTAATTGGATAAAAATTTCCACATCACTCGAAGAACAACATATAAGCATGTTCCTGTACCTGCCAGTGCTATTAGGCTATAACCATCCGAAAAATTGGCACTTAATTTATGACAAGAGTTAGATAATTAAAGCAAAGCTAGCGATCGTAATTCAAGGCACACTTGAATACACAAAAAAAAAGATTGAAGGGAAAGACCTACTCCGTATCGAAGTGCCAGAAAATAAGCTTTCTTATCATTGTTTTAAGTTTATTTTATTGTTCATATACATCAAAGGACTCATATTTTGTTATGAATTACATTAGTACATATTTTAGCACCCTTTTTTCGTTAAAAATTCAGTACCTCACCTTTTTTTCATAATAAATATGAATACTGCACAGTTTAACTAATTTGTTTTCAACTACATTCCATTGGAAGTCACGTAGCTTTGGACAAAAGTGGCCTGCAACTACTCATATCTATTTGCTCCAGGGTATTTTTTTTAACCATGTACCAATGCAGTCACTTACGTTTGCAACGAAAATACGCTTAAAAATTGTTTCTACTTAACTCCAATACTACGAAATAAGACTCCACGTTTCTTTATTCCTATAAAATAACTTTATTTTCCTCCGAAAAGTAGTCAACTAGTACACGAGCATACTAAGCTGAAAAGTTAAAAGACGGTGTTTACTTCTTAGCAGCACCCTTCTTCACACCTTGCGCCTTCAATTCACGGATGCGCTCGCGCTTGTCCTTCTTCAATTTACGCTCTGTACCATCAGACTTGGTACGCTTCTTCAGTGTGTTGAAGGCAATGGTAAGCAACTTGTTACGTTGACGCTTGGCATAACGCAGCTTGAAACGATCAAAATCATTCAAATGAGAACGCTAAAAAAAAAAAAAGAAAACTTGTTAAACAAAATACCAAAAATTTAACATTTAATATGCAAGTCATATTTTTCAGAAAATATATAAAATAGCTTCATATATGTATCAGCCGGCAATTCCTATCAAGAACTTTCATTATCATCATGTTAAAGTCATGAACACTTTGAATACATAAAACATAATTGTTGTTAATCAATAGAAATTTACCTTGCAAATATTCTGTGATCTCGACGACCATGGGCTAGCCTTCCATTGGGCTTTCATGTCGCTGTCCTTCCATGCTTTGCGCACAATACGTGTGGGGGCAGTGAAGGGGAACTTGATGCGGTATTTGGTCAGATGTAGATTATTCAATCTGTATTCCTGACGTGGTACACCGGTCAAGGGACCATCAACAAGCACCTGTAAAAAGTTGAAATTGTTTGTTTAATTTTATAATCAAATGTGAAGATAATCATAGTACTTGACATTGAACTAAGGGTATGCTTTCAGTTATGGTTGCAAATAGCTTCATATATGTATCAGTTGGCACTTCCTATCGTGAACCGTATCATCACTTGCGTACCCTTTGTACAATATCAAAATCATATTGCATTCACTTACGCGTGTTTGATCAATAACGTCAACAATGGCGACTAGGCGGCCCTTCAAGGGACCCGCCGAGCATTTGGCAATGCGGCCAGTCTGTACAAACCTCTGGAAAGGCTGTAAATAGATAGATGAAGCATTAGTAAATCATTTATCAAGTTGCCGCTGCTCCACGTTTCAATATGACAGTTCGATGCAAGTGGTACTACCACCACGTGAAGTCGTTTCGCAATTGCAAATTGGTAACACAAAAGACAGACAACAATAAATGTAAATCAATGCGAATCTTTGTACACTAAGAAGTCATGCACCATTTATTGATTGTTCACATTTTATTAAAACTTTATATGAGGAGAGAAATTATGATGTCTCCTTACCATGGTTAACCGGAAAGAAAGAAATTTGGTTGCGGTTCTACAAATAAGACAGATTCAACATGGATTCTTGCATTGAACTGTAACTGCAGAAAGAAGAAACAGTGATGACAGTTCAAAATTGTCATTTGACATATTTGCAAAACTGGGCAACACTTATTTATCAAATAAATTCATACAGGTGGGAACATTAATTTGTCAGAAACGTCAAATATTTATTTGGTATTTTGTGTTATTCAGCTGATTCTTGTGGCAAAAAACATTTGTATATTTAATAATAAATATATAGAAGATCATTCTTATGTTTTTAATATGCCTCAGTTCAACGAAAAAGCAGATAGTTCTACCTCAAGAACAATATATATTAACCCACATTTTAACAAACAAATGCAACCAATGACGATTGGCACAGCAAATGCAGTTATAAACAAAACAATATCATCTGGTGCTCACATCAACCCATTGTTTTTGGGTGTTTATCGACCACCAGCAATACATATGAATCCTAACTTTTTCAATAGTAAAATCCTTGAACAACAAAAATTGCCACTAAATTATGAAATAAAGTGTTCGGAAAAAGTGAAGTTAGTAACCAAAAATACTCCAATTAAAACAAATCAACCAAATAGTTTACTTTTACATGGTGAAATTATCGATCTATGCGATGAATCTGATCAGGAAGTGGAAAAAGCATCTGTAAATACTAATTTGAATATATTACCAGTAAGTAAAGACCCAAAACAAAAAATTATAACTAAATCACGCACCAAAATTGTTCGTGAACCAGCGGTAATAACAAAAGTTATGCCTGCGCCATCACCGCTTATACGTTTAAGTAGTAAAAAATTAGTAAGAAGAACACATACATCTCCAGCTGTTAGCATATTACGTAATATTACCCCCGCCTCCGCTAAAAACACACATGGAAAGTACAAACTAGATCGACGGCCAGGTTTGCCTTTAATAGCAACAGCAGGTGTGAAACTAAAACGGAAAAGTTTTGTAGCACGCTACGCTTTGCAACGCTCAACTTCTGAAACAAAAAGTGCCATAACGTAAGTGTGTATACATTTTCATAATAATCGTTTATTAAATGTATTTTTATGTATCTTTCAGTTCCTCTAAGCTACGGTCACTGCCTGTTAACAAAAAATTGCAAATGCTTAATATAAATGGGGTGCTGTACAGATCAACTCGCAACAAATTACAAAGAAAAGATAATAGCGTTGCATCAAATCAAATGACATCAGCAAAAATATCTCCTATAAGCGTAAAAACTAATCCCATTAAAAACACACTTCCAAAACCTAGCAAAACGGCATACGAGCGTGTGCTATTTGTTCATGGCACAAAATTTATTTTAGATAAGAATGGTTTCAAACTAACCCGTATTGCACCTACCACCAAGGACAGCGTAACGGGTACACCAAAGCCTACAATACCCACTCAAAGGCAACGCCAGCGTATAGACATTGGTGGCTTAACGTATATAGCCTCCACAACGCAAAACGTATTCGTGCGTACTCGCAACCATTTGGCCTTGGCACATCTAAATACGGCGAAGAATCGCAGCCTGCAATTACTTGCGCGTCGTTTCGTCAAAACCAATGTACCATGTGCCATATTCCAACGCATAGGCAAATGCATAGCGCACGAAAGAGGGAAGTGCAACAAAGTGCATGATAAGAACCAAGTTACTATTTGCCCAAGGTTTGTATTATATTTTTCGCCTAAAAAATTTAACACGCCTAATTACAATTTTATTGTAGATTCCTGCGTAGTGAATGTCACAACTCAGATTGTTTACTTTCACATAACGTTTCGCTTGCGAAAATGCCAGTTTGTAAATTCTTTCTACAGGGTGTTTGCGTGCGCCCAGACTGTCCATATCTACACAAAAAGCTTAGCGTCAACGCAGACATTTGTCAGGATTTCCTACGGGGTTACTGCAAATTAGCGGAGCAGGTAAACTACAGTTAAATTGTATGTTTTGGAAACGTTAGTAATCAAACGTTAAAAATATTTTCCAATTAGTGCAACAAGCGTCATGAATTCTTGTGCCCTGAATACGAGCGTAATGGTAGCTGTGAATTAGCGAGTTGTGTGTATTGCAAGAATCGCAAACGAAAACTTTTAAACGAGCCAACAAAACAGCAAAATAAACAAGTGCATAATGCTGCATTAAAAGAAATTGCTGTTCAAGGCACACAGGAAAATTCGGGCGTAGCAAAGCGTTATTTCATTGACAAATGTCTAAACGCAAATGCAACAACAACTTGTGATAAAACGGAAAAGGATGAGAGTGCTGAAAAGCAAGAGTTTGACACACATTCGGAAGAGTTAGATTCTGATACTGAAATGCCGTCTGCACCTGTGCGCCCCAAAGTCGGCGCGTTGCCAGCCTTCATACCGCTCTTGTGAAATTAAAAAAAATAAATAAAAAATGTAATGATGAAACTACTAAAAAGCTGAAAAGTTATTGAAATTTTGCTCTTTTACAAGCAAGTAACTGTGAATTTAATATAATACTTAAATGCCTATAGGGCCGATATCCATACATCCATTTTTTTTTCTCTTAAACTGTAAGTTAACTGAAATATCAATAAAAAAAAAAAGATATAAAATATAAAAACTTGAGATTCTAGTGCTGAGCGCTTTTATGCGTGCCAAAATAGAATATAAACATTTGTGTTGTTTTCAAATTGTGCGTATCATAATATCAATAAGGTATTTATAGATTTATTTGAGTGATTATAAGTTTTACTATTATTATATTTATTTAATTGTTAGTAAATACTCAGCGTGTTTGTATATCAAATTAGTCTGGGAATGCTTAGACATATATGTATGTATGTATATATTTATATAGCATATGCAGTACACAAAATCCAAAGATTATAAAGTTTCTAAAGCGTTACATTTCCTTTTACACTGTCAACAGCTAAGTTTTTTTCGATTGTATTTTTTTTTTTTTTTTTTTTTTGCGTAGATTTCTTCTTACAACTAGAAAATATGTGGGTTTAGGTAACAAGTAGAAATTTTTATGTTGCAAAGTTGGTGGTATGAGGTTGCACTGATTACATTTTGTCTAATCAAAATAATAACAGTAATGGTTATATTAGACTTGATTTGCGTATGTATGTATGTAAATGAAATTAAACACCTTTCTTGATAAGGCATAAACAGAACAGGCAGAGGGGCATATTTTTTTGTTTTGTTTTTTTTTGGTTGGACAAAAATAAGTTATTAATAATTAATAAAAATAAAATTATTCGTCAACTTAGAATTTGTTAGACTTGAATGCAACTTATTAGCCAAGCAATTTTTTTGAAGCTAGCATCAAAGTTCCATTAGCAATTGCTGATGAGTTCGAAAATAAATCAAACTGAAATATTTGAGAAATAAATAAACGAAATATACTTTTGAAATTCTTTATATTATAAGAAAATAATCAATATTTTGTCTAATCATTCTTAAAGAAAAATTAAATTTAATATAAATTAATACGTTATGTATATGAAGGAAATATAATATTGAGAATTAATGAAATGAAGTCATAATTTATGCACATAAATTTTACGAACAACTGTGAACTAAACTATGGTGATATTTTATTAAAAATAAGCCTTCCTTTTCAAAAATCAATCTACCACCTTGAACACGAAGTACGCGAAAGACTTAAATTCTAAAACAATTTCCTTTTTAAATTTTTAATTATAAGCTTGGGATTAAATTTTTATTTAGTTTTTAAATCGGTATTTGGGATTAAAAATTAAATAAAAATAAATTTGGGGTTAAAAGTTTTTTTTTTTATTTTTCGATACGGTATTTGGGATTAAAAGTTTAAAATTTATTTTTACTTAAGATCTTCGGAATTACAAAAAAAAAAAATTTATTTAAAAGTTAATTCAATTATTATTTCGTACATTATTTGCAACCCTGAATAAATGAATATAAAATATTTCGAAATTTTTTATATCATACGAAAACAAACAAATATTTTTTAATCATTCATAAAGAAAACATATAAGTTTATACAAAACTATAAAAAAAATTTGAGTATTAATGAAATTCAGTTATAATTTCCGAACCTAAATGTTATTTTTGAACTCACGCTAAAAAATTTCTTAATATTCCTGTATGCATTATTTGCTTTTTTGAAAACTGATTTTCTTTAATTATTTCGATACCTTTGTTATTAGCGTACGATATGTATGTATATAGAAAATGCATGATTATAACAAATCGATGCATATATAATATATATGTACATACATAAACGTTCGCACATCATTGGATGCACATATGTAAAATGATACATATTGGTATGATTTACATTACTTATGCTACAGAAACCAAAAGCCACAGATTGTACATACATAAATAACTTTCAGCCAGCTTTCTAAGTGCGTACAATTTTGCACCAAAACAAATTATCGTTGCACGGGCTGTATGCGTTCTTTTTGTTCAGTACAGTTACAGACAAGTCTACAAAATATTCGATGTACATATTTTTTTTACCTACATATATGATTATTTATGAATAATTTCTTTCGTATAGTTAAATCTTTCATTCTCCTTAACCGTAAACACATTGTTATAGAATATTAACATAAGCCTTTGTAAATGAGTTGATACACTTACATATACATACACATAAATTTATACTATCCTACCGAGTGCAATCATTATTGCTTTTCATTTATGAGAATATCATCTCTAAAGTATGTGAAATGAGAAGAGCAAAGCGAATAAATGCGAAAATATCACAATACTACATATAGTAACCAAATTTGAGATCGTGAAATAGTTTTAGTTTATAGCGCGAAAAGTGCGTTAATAAAAATTTTAAAAATGCTAAATACAAATAAATAGAATAAAATTTAAAAATATTTAAAAAGACGTAATAGGAATGCATTAACTAACGCAAGAGGTGCGTAGCAACTTCGCTGTGTTCATTTTCTGCTTTTGAATTTTTTGCCTATTGCACTAATTGTGAGTTGCCAGCCAAGTAAATAACCTTTGGCGGGAATGCAAGCCAAGTGTAAGCATTTTATTTAGTTATGTCGCGCATCATACTGTTTGACCTTCTCCGGTATGGCAGCTTTCTCCACAATCACGTGCTTGGCGAGTTCATCCAACGATTTCACATAAACCAATTTACGCCAGAATTTTGCGCTGTAAACAAAATATTATTTATCCAAAATAAAAAATTAAATTAAATAAAAATTTGTTTGCATTTACCTAACAAAGGGACGAGTCATCCATACTATAGATTTGATCCAAAATGTTGGATGTACTAAATACATGTTTTTCAGACTTTTTCTTAAACGGCGATCTAGTAGCTGATAGCATCTGCAAAAACAGAAAATAGAAATTTTCAAACTTCCACATTTTCAACTATACAAGTAACGTACTTTTTTAACCATGGAAATGGCGGCACATTGCGTCGACTAGTGCCACCATGCAAATAAATAAGCACATAGTCCTCTGTCACTAATTGTTCCAATGTTTTAACCACGTACAGAAATAGATTATCCATTACGTAGTTATAATCAGCACGCGAACGATCCGGCAGATGGCAGGCACAAAAAATTACGATAGCATTATGTCCGCCAGCCTGCAGGTAACCACCATGTGAAAGCACACGTTTATATGGCTCGATCACGCGCATATCTATTTCTCTGGTACGACCATCGGGTAATGTGATCTTTTGCCAATTTCTTGAGTCACGTCTCTCTTCAGCTGCAGAATATTGCGGCAATTGATCGGATGCACCTTCTATGTTGCTCGTTAACGTCATCGATTGTAAATGTGGTGTAGGGGTAACTGCTTCAGGGTAATCGTCCTCATCATCTATACAACCAGCGACGCCGCCATCGTCACTATCATCATCTAAACCGTCAATTAATGAACTCGATGGGCTAAGTGAAGCCAAATTGTGTTCAATGTCCTCATCATCGTCAAAACTGTGATTTGAAATTGAATCCAGTGATGAGATATCATCACCACCGTTACCACCATTTGTATTAGACTTTCTAATACGACGAGTATTTTTTTGCAGCTCATTACCCACTGTTGGTAAGAGCGCCACCGTTTGAAAGTTGGCCTCAACTGTAGCGTGATATTGTGATACGTCTGCTTCGGATTCGCTGCTCAAGAGATCAGGACTGTGGGCACGTAAATAAGCTAGTTTATTGTGCGCTGCAGCAGGTGCGTTAGCAATACCACGTGTATTATTTAAAGCGTTTCGTTCAATTATTGTACTAGTCTGTAGAGGCGACTGTACATGTTCGTATTGTGGCACCACATCGGGAAAATTGTTGCGCTTCATATCATTATTTATCGTCACCGAATTCGCCGAGCTGTGTTCATTCTCAGAACACGTAGGCGACATTAATGGATGACTTTCGGTAATAGTGCGTGCAATACTTTGTCGCTGTGGTATTAGCTCCAGCGATAGCGCGTCTGGTCGGACCAATCTGTTATCCAGATTCGATGTAACTTCATTTACCAATTCAACATTCACTTCATTCATTGTGCTATTCGATACAACAGTTGTATCTTTTATGAGTACTTGGTGTATGTTGTGGTTACTGTGAGTGGGCGATTGTGAGGCATCAGGATCGTCATCTTCTCCCAGTGGCGATACGCCTGCTGAGCCTTGTGAAGTTGTAGCGTCTGAAATATCCATTTTGCTGTCCGTTAATGGACTCTCCATTTGCAAACTAGTTGTGTGTAAATAAAAAGTATTTTTTATAAGAGCAATGTTTTCATTTTGCATTTCTAATCGATTAATCAGCGTTTTTGTGATTTGCTGCTTTTCATACACACTTTTACATATGTATGTTATATACACATTTATATGCAAGTTTTAAGCTGTGTCAGCACTCACCTCATCTCACTTGTTAAAGCTCAATTACTTTTGCTTTTATTGTGCAATTAAAATATAATTAATAATTTTTAAAGAAGTTTGGTTTGCCAGTAAGAAATATTATTTTCACTGATTAAAAATAAATAAAGAAAAAAACATTTACATTTCATCAGTCATCGAAAACTATCACAATATTGCCAGATGCCTAAATATTTTTATTTTTGTATTAAAATATATACTTCATAAGATTTTTTTTTAGTTAAACACGGGCAACTTACTAAATTATTTTACAAAAGATTCGTTTTATTTTATTATAAAGAAAATGTGCACCGTGATACACCTGTCACAAATATATTTGAGATAATATAATATAAGATATTGAAAGCTTTTTTAAACCAAATTATTGAGCAAAGGTGTGCCATACATATATGTGCTTAAAAATTTTATGGTGCTACGCCTTTTTTTACATTTCGCCCAAAAAATATAACTCTCCAAAAATTTTGTAGCAATTGCTTATAATTACATTTATTTATTTATATATTTTTTTAAATTATTGAAATAGTTTAACGAGCACAACCAAATGAATGAAATGATATGATATCCAGCTAGGGGTTGTAATCGGATTTAAATAATTTTATTGAGCTCAACCAAATGAATGAAATGATTTTATATCCAGCTAAGTGTTGTTATCCTGCTGAATTAATATGTTGTTTAAGAAAAGTTATTAACTTTAACAAAATTTTCAACAAATACATATGGGAAATTGTTTTAAATAAAACGACGTGCTGTAAACGTAATCTTAGTAGTGTGCGTTGAATGGCAGCACTGATTTCTGTCAAAATAAGTTTGATTTTATTATGTCAAATTGCATTTTTCAGAATTTTGTGTTGCTTGTTGACAAAAAATTTAATACTGTATTCAATATTGGAAGAAAATTGTAATTCGTCGTAGTAGGCTTACCGTTTTCGAATCAGTGGTCACCATGGATACAAATGCAACGCCTACCAAGTCTAGTGCTCAAAAAACGAAAGAAAAAATAAATTTGTCTGCGACTACTACGTCTGCAATAACAACAACAACAACATTAAATCAAATTTCAACAGGGACGCCATTACAAAATTTACCAATTGAGCTGCAGAATGACCAAAAACGTAGAAGGTAAGTGCTTTAATAGACATCTAATACATAATATAACTTTTTTTCGTTCATAGCTCGTCTCGTTCAATTAAGCGCAAACGTTTTGACGACGAAATTGTAGAATACAGCATTGGATTTCCACAGTCGCGAGGTGAACCGAAAGTCGGACGACAGCGCACTACTTCTCAAACCTCCGCACAAACGCAGTCTTTATCAACAGCCGTTTTACAAGCACCTACGCCTGCTAATAGCAACCTTGAAGTTTCTACTTTTGTAAGAGAGACACCAACGTCGGTATCAGCACCGAACACAAACAACGGTAATATTTCTTTAGCTGGAGCATCTACTCCACTGCCACCAGTTCACCCGACTAATACAGTCAAACAAACTTCACCTTCAATGGAACGTGCACTAGCCGCACATGTCTCAGACAAAAGACGACCACCACGTTCTAATAATAAGAAATCTAAGAAAACCGGTCGTCCTCCAAGTCAAATTACTACGAAAGATTTAGGACGTTGGAAACCCATTGACGATTTGGCTTTAATTATTGGTATACAACAAACGAATGACTTGCGTATGGTACACCGAGGCGTGAAATTCTCGTGCAAGTTCACTTTACAGGAGTTACAATCTCGTTGGTTTTCTTTACTTTATGAACCAGCGATTTCGCGTATCGCAGTTGCTGCTATGCGAAATCTACATCCCGAGCTTGTGGAGTCAGTTCAAAGCAAGGCACTTTTTAGTGTACAAGAAGAAGAACTATTAGGAACAGTAAGGAGTGTGAGTAGCGGTAATTCATATCATTAAAAATTGTTCTGATTAAAGTTTTATTCTTTTTAGACTGATAGTCCAAAACTAGAGCAGTTCCAGGAATTACTTGAAAAAAATGCCTCCCTTTTCTATAGTGCACGAACAGCTAAATCACTACAGAATCATTGGCAAATGATGAAACAGTATCAGTTACTGCCAGATCAGGTGGTCAAGCCGCTACACATGAGCGATACACCATTAAGTTTCTCCGATGCTGAGGATCTTATTCTTGACGCCGAACTGAATGATCAACGAGATGAAGCGCTGGAGATTGAGTTAGCATTGACTGATCGTCAAAATAAGCATGAAATTCGTCTGTTGGAAAATGAATTAAGTCGTTGGAATGTTTTAGTGGACTCGGTTACAGGTGTCGCGCCACCAGAATTTGATGGTCAAACGCTAGCTGTGCTTAGGGGTCGCTTGGTGCGTTATTTAATGAGATCGAAGGAGATCACTTTTGGTCGCTTTGTTGAAGACTCGCATGTCGACATCGATCTGTCTTTAGAAGGTCCCGCATGTAAAATCTCTCGGCGTCAGGGCACAATTAAACTGCGCAGCAATGGTGATTTTTTCATTGCAAATGAAGGCAAAAGACCTATTTTCATTGATGGCGTGCCCTTGTTGACTGGAAATAAGACCCGACTCGCCAACAACTGTGTGGTCGAGGTAAATTATAAAATTTAATTTTTTTTTGTAAAACTTAATTTATGTGCTTTCAGATATGCAGCTTACGATTCGTTTTTTTGGTGAACTATGAGCTTATTAATGCCATAAGGCATGAGAGTGCGAAGACCACCGCCTCGCTAAACTAGTGTTTACAACATTTTTGAGCAGTTATTCATAAGATTACTATGTAATTTTCCCTTATGTGAAGTCTAAATACACAACCAATTTATGGTACTTAAACTCTGTATATGCTTGTTGTGCTGAGTTTTATTTAAGTTAGCATTTTATGCTTAACCTCTAAATTTCTTGAAAAGTGGATGCACTGAGCCTGCATTGCGCCTGCGCTGTTCATAGTAGATAGCGTCGTCACCTCCAGACATTGAACTGAGTCCGCCAGCACGTTTAGATGCTGCGCCACCACTAGGTCGATAACCGGGCTCACCCGGCACTCTTTCATCCTCGCAATCCAGATCAGAGGCGGATAATACTTGCTGCAGAAGTTGTGATTGTTCTTCGCGTGTTTTATACATCAGATCCGGATCAGTGTCCATGCCACTCAAATGTGTGATTACTTTATAACTATAGCCTTGATTCACCAAGAATCTTTGACGCTTGCGTGAATAGCTCATTTCCATGGTGTCCTGCGAGACGAGTGTGTAGAAGAAGGCGTTGTACTCCTCTGCAATTGCGCCCTTCTTGGCACGCAAAATACGTCCAAGACGTTGAGCTTCTTGACGACGCGAACCACCATGTGAGGATATCTGAATCAGTACATTAGCCTCGGGCAAGTCGAAACTTGTATCCGCCACTTTCGACACGAAAATCGTGTTAACCTGCGATCATGGAAATGTTCAAATGAGGATAACAATTATTTAAAAAACAAGAAAAAAAGTTAACTTCGGTTGCACCGAAGCTATGATGCCCTTCACAGGTGAATTTCTTAAAGAATAAAATGGCATAAATAGGTTTTTATCTTGTTGTTGTTGTTGTTGTAATGGCTGCATTGGACGAATAAAAATTTGGACCCGCGACTGTCGAGCGAAACGGGGTCTTTATCTTCATTTTTATCAGTCAGTTTGTATGGCAGATATATGCTTTAGTGGTCCGATCCGAACAATTTGTTGGGCTCTTGTAGCCCTGTCTTTGACAATAATCCACGCAAAATTTTGTGAAGATAACTTGTCAAATTTAAAAGGTTTCCATACAAGGACTTGATTTTGAAAAGGATGTGAGCGACATTTCAAATCGATATCTCCACTATTGAGAGACTACTTTGACTTAGTTTATAGAGACATATGAACATGGCTAAATCGACGTAGCTCGTCACGCTTGTCATTTTTACATATGTATGTATACTTTAATAATAATTTTACCTTTTGATTGAATTTAAAGTTCTGCAGAATCTGTATACGCTCATTTTGTGAAGTAGGTCCATAAATGAACGGTTTATTCATCTTTATAGCATAGTGTTTCAGCGCAAACACATTATCCGAGAACACAATTGTTTTGTCACCACGCTTTTCATGGTATTTTATTAGGAACTGACAACTACGAAACTTCGATGGATTCATTACATAGAGCAACATTTTCTTCGATGTTTTTGTTGTTAGATATTCGCGATAAAATTCTGGTGACATTGGGCACCATACTTCAGCGCACTGTACTCTGGCAATGTAGCCCTTCTTTTGTAATTCCAACCAATTCGCTTCATACAGTTTCGGTCCAATGAGAAAATTCAAATCGGCGATTTTATCATCCTCACGCAAAAGTGTAGCTGTCAAACCCAATTTACAATGAGATTGTACAATTGTCAAAACGCGTCTGAACATTTTCGCCGGTATCGTATGTACTTCATCGAGCACCATAATACCCCATTCCTGCTCTTGTAACCAGCGCATAGTTTGCTCTGCTTCCCATGAACGTTTCTGTGTATGCGTTATCATGGAATACGTGGTCACCAGTATACCACAACCCATAGGCTTGTCTTTAGCTTCAGATGTAAAACGACAAATCATACTGTCATCTGCTGTGGACCACATTTTAAATTGCTGTTTCCATTGTTCGACCGAAACACCACTGTTGCAAAGGATTAGAGCACGTTTGCGTACCGTGCAACAGGCTGTCACACCAACAAGTGATTTGCCGGCACCACAAGGTAACACAATGACACCAGACCTGGCACGGCCATTACCAAACATTTTACGCAAACTTTTCTCTTGATAAGGTCGCAGCACTGCAGCTGGTTTTAAATCTATGTTTATATCGGGATTGTGTGTATCGTTACGAAAGTCGTATTCAGCCAGTAAGGGATGTTCAATTTCAATGCAACGTTTCTGTATGACTTCGATTTTTTCTTGATTCACTTCGAAGGACACGGTTTTTAAATTGGCCTCATCCTCGTCTTCTTCTTCGTTGTCGATTTTGTCATAGAAATTTGTAATATCTTCTGGTACTGCAGTAGTGCCATCAGGATTTGTTGTAGCTGCTGTTCCAGCAGCAGTAACAGCAGTGGGATCATTATCATTAGTCGATGTTGTAGCGGCGCTTTCCCCTGGCGGTAATTTCGTGCCAAATTGTGTGATCGCTTTACTTTCTAATGTGCCTTGTATAAAACCTTCGCCTTCTTCGCGCTTCAAACGACATTGTTGTATTACTGGATCTTTTAATAGTTTTTGCAATATATCTGGATGTGGTGATTCAATAAAATACCTATATTTAATGTATTATTAATTTTTCCATGTTAAATAATTTGCTTTAAATAGTGACTTACCTGTTGTGTTTTAGCACCAGTTTAACTTTTCCATAGGTGAACGTACATAGTTTAATAAACTCTATAATACCTTCCGGAATTGATGTTTTACTCAAACGCTTGAGATATTCAATTATATCATGTGTTTGTAATCCCACTGACACCGCGGCATACAAACTGTAAGCTGTTAATTTATACTCATGTATATGTTCTGGTCGACACACAGGCTCGGAAATGGCTATTAGGAAGTCATGTGCATGTTTATAAACTGGGGAAAATGATTCCAAGAACACATGCCCATTTGGCGCAACCCATAATGGTCGATTTGTGTGATCAGCCTTCAGTTCCATTTGTGCACGATAATCCTTGGCTCCATATTCGTCTGTCATAATACCATCATCGTTTGTTTCAACATTTTTAGAAGCAGCCACTGGCACTCCATCTAATTCAGTAACACCATCAGAAGCCAAGGAATCCCCATCTTCCACCAATTGAGTGAAAGCTTCATCTTCAGCACGACGTTTCTTCCCTGAAAAGGAAGAGGCATTGAAAACATATTACATTTAATATATTCCTTCTCTTACCAAATTTATCCCCGGCAAATCTGTCCTTTTTTGATTTCTTTGGTGGACCCATTACTTTTAGTTTTGTATAAATTTCACAACAGAACCTACTCTAATTAAAGTTTCAGTTTTAAAGTTTTGTCCACTCACACGGCTTTTTAATAAATTATTTTCTTGGCAACCATAATCAAAATAATGTCAAAACTTAAAGAGTAACCAGATTTTGTTATTAAATAACTTATTGGTATTCACAATAATCACTTGTGTGATGTTTGTCATTTAAAAAGGTTTATGCGCAGCTAGTCACGGCAATCGAAACTCCAATACACACGTATACAAGAGTTTTATTCGGAATTATTAATTAGGCCTTAAAAATTCATATAAAATTTAACAGAAATCGATGGTAGCGCTGTTGGGTATTTAACAGAGCGGTGGCTTCCGGGATAGTTAATTATGAAGTTTCATGCGATGACACTTTGCTGACATAAATCAGATATTCAATTGGGAAAAGCACCACAACAAAAAGTGGTGAATTAAAAAAAAATTGTGGCAACTTTATAAAATTAAGTATAAAATATTGGCAACCATAGAAAGTTGCTGTCAAAGTGATACGGATGTTGTGAGCTTATATAAAAAAAGTACAAAATGTAATTAAAATTTATAGCCGAAAGAAATAAAAGAATATATGATTTCGATCAATTTATAATACCGAAAGTATATGTTCTACTTCTAGCAGCAAAAGGATGATAGGAGCAAGTGTATAATTAAGATTTGGAAGCTTTAATTGATTCCAAACTATTATCGAATACTATATATAATGGTATTGATTTTCTAATGGCACGTTTTAAAAGATGGACTTCTGGGTCCACCGAAATTGCTGATATTTAGCGCTGGCGGTATAAATAATAGTTAAAAAGTATTGGTACACAAAATAAGAAGAATTATAAATGCATAAAATATATTATAAATGAGCAAATGTGCGTATATACAAGTAATTTTGGCTATTGAGGAAGCGAAACAACTTTGGACTGGATGCAAAATTTACATACCTAAACACATACATACATATGTATATAAACATATAAGTATTTAAAGCGTCAATTAGCTTAAGAAATCCGAATTAATATAAATACAGAATACATTGCAAATATACACACATGTATGCTTTTCGTTTGTTCCTCCCCGAATGGATTGCCTTGATTGAATGAGAATTAAGCGTTTAAGTGATAATCTTAATTTATATCTTTATCTAATGCACAAAGAGTAAAAGGGGTTATGGATATAAATTACAAAAATGCTATGAATTTAAACGTGGTGTAACGTTAAATCAAATTTCACAAATATATAACTGAAATATTAACAATGCAAAAATGCAATAGTGAAGAGCGCATCGAAAGCGCTAACTCTAGTCCACGTTTACCCCACAAACACTTATCTATATTGGGATTTTTAACAAAACGTTCCAGTAAAATAGAGCCACATCCAAGAGATGGTGAATCAAAGAAACATAACAAATCAACGGACTATTTGCGTCCATCATCCGCATGTGCAAACTACTTTGATAACACTAGTCATGATGTGACCTTCGCCAAGTGTTCAGCTGAGCGTCAACGTTCACCCATTTCGCCGCAAAAACAAAATGGTCTAAAAAATAATAGTGATGCCTCAAAAACCAAGAGTAAAACGCTACCAGCTGGTGGCAATTATCTAGGACAACCATATAACAGTAACGCTCTAAACTCAAACTCACACGCGCGTAGGCGTAGCACTGATGGCTCACAAAGCGATAGTGGCGCTGCAGAAGTAGTGCTGCGAAAGACAGCTAAATATCGTTCCCCAAATCATAATCGTTTTAGCCACCAATTTAGTTTATGTTGCAAAGCAGAAAAGAAACCCATGACACCGCCAGTGACAGTGCGTTACAACTCAATACCGGATCCAGCCAATACGCTCAAACGTGATAGCCAAACGTTATGTTGGAGTTTTATAGATAATACATCGGTTTCCCTACAGTCGTCCGATGAAAATTCGTCCATGCAATTGCCAAAAGGTGATGCTAATTTGACAAATAACATAGCAAGAGTGAATTTAACGGAATGTTCCAGTGCACCAGAATCTCCCGTTACGGCTAAGGTGATGTTTACATCTTCGCATAGCAGTCCGTCAAATGTATCACTAAAAAGTGGCCAAAGTGAACAAGTGCCAACAACAAGTAATGATGGCGCAAAATGTAGTGGTCCAATACGTCCATTAGCAGTTTCGGCGTGCCGTTCACGACTACGACTGAAACTATATCCACCAGGTAAAGAGTTACCATCGTTAGTGCCTAAATTAAACGATGCGCCAGCCAACACCATAAAACGGGCAACAACACCACAACACATGTCTTCGCCAAATATTGCCATCCAGCCGGACATAGCGAGGGAATTAGAAACGCACGAAGCACAAAATGTGCGTTTTAGTTCACATGAAAATATACAAATGCAACGATTGCAGTCCAGTCAAGTAGGTTTAGCGCGACGTGCGCTACTAAGTGCTCAAGTGTTAAGCCTAATACCAACGGATAAAGCACGAGAAAGGTAAATCCCAATTAACACAATACTGTTTTAGGCAAAAAATTTAATACTTTATTCGTTCATAATATTATTTTTGTAATAAAATTTAAACAGGAGTTTCATGGAGGGACATATGGGGTCTTCAGCATTACTGGGACCGGCGGAATTAGACCGCATTTTGCCAAATAAAGAAATTACGATCTTCGTGGGCACATGGAATATGAATGGACAAAATCCGCCAAAGTAATAGAAACAACTTTTCAAAATAAATACAAGTAATTATCAAAGTTTTCTCGCACATCTTTCAATTCCAGGCAAATGAATGACTTTGTACTGCCATTAACCGTGGAGCATGTGCCCGATGTTGTTGCGATGGGCACGCAAGAATCCAGTCCCGATCGTTTCGAATGGGAAGTGACCATACAAGAGACCCTAGGACCATCGCACGTGCTTTTTTATTCAACTAACTTGGGCACACTGCATTTGGCTATTTACATGCGTAGAGATCTTATTTGGTATTGCTCAGCGCCAGAGGATGCCTCCTTTTCGGTGCGCACCGGTACAGCTTTTCGTACGAAAGGTGCCGTCGCTATATCTTTTTGTATATTCGGTACATCAATGCTATTCGTTACATCACATTTGACCGCTCATCAGCAGAAAGTCAAAGAACGTGTTTCCGATGTGAAACGCATCATACATGCGCTTGATTTGCCAAAAAATTTAAATTTACGTCATAAAAATAAGGATGTAACGCAGAATTTCGATAATGTATTTTGGTGTGGTGACCTTAATTTTCGTCTTGGCGAACCGCGTGAAAAACTCTTGGAATGGATTCAAAATACGAAATTTCCACTACCCTCACACTTGCCACACGGCTATATGCATACCGATCAGTTGTCCTCAGTTTTGTCAGACGGCGCTGCTTTTCGTGGCTTTATGGAAGCAAATATAACATTTCCACCAACATATAAGGTGTGTTTCAATAACTTACAAATTTCATGATAATTTTGTCTGTAAACGTTATACTTCTTTTGTTTGTTGTAAATTTTAGTATGATCCGGGCACCCAACATTTCGATACATCATCCAAACAACGCGCTCCCGCATACACCGATCGCATTCTCTATAAGTATAGGCAGTCACAGGGTTTGGGCATACGTCGTGGCAGCACGCTAACGCCAGGTGCAAATGCTCCGCAGCCATATGTGCAGTGCTTGCTGTATGATTCTGTGCCATCTATTACCACTTCGGACCACAAACCGGTCTGGGCGTTGTTTAAAACCCAGATTCGCGCGGGCTGCGATTCGTAAGTTTAATTTTTTTTGTTAATTTTTATTGTTCATTATACCTTGAGCAGAGTATATTAAGTTTGCCACGAAGTATATAACACCCAGAAGGAAGCGTCGTAGAACGTATAAAGTATATAAATGATCGGCATGAAAAGCTGAGTAAATTTATCCATGTCCGTTTGTCTGTTTGTATATATCGTTGAAATTTTGAACATGTCTTTCTCCTCAAGAAGCTGCTTATTTGTCGGAACCACCGAAAACGGACCACTATTGGATATAGCGACCATACAAACTAATCGAACAAAATCAAGTCCGTGTATGGAAAACTTGTTTATTTGAGAAAACATTTTCCCGAAATTTGGCATTGATTATTGTCCAAGGCAACGCTAAAATCTCTGAATATATTGATCAGATCGGATCACTATTGCATATAGTTGCCATACAAACTGATCGATCAAAATCAAGTCCTCGTATGGAAAACTTTTTAATTTGACAAGATATCTTCAAAAATTTTAGCATGTATTATTTTCAAGACTGCACAACAATCTCCGAATATATTGTTCAGACCGGACCACTATAGCATATAGCTGCCATACAAACTGAGCGCTCAAAATTAAGATAAAATCCGTTTCCACGACAGTCGGGTCTACGTAAACGGAACTGACCCGGATTTTTATCCGGTTAAGGACTGTCAATTCGACATAATTCTGGCGCTACAATAACAACAATATAAATATCTTCTTATACCCTTTTATGCTGTAAGAAATGCACCTGTGAAGGGTATTATAGCTTCGGAGCAGCCGAAGTTAATGTATTTTTTTGTTACATTTATAATATTAATTTGTACACATTCACCTTGCAGTATTCCATTGGCGGCTGGTCTATTCCATCGTGATATTTATTTGGAGGGCATGAAAAGACGCTTAAATAATCAATATTCAGGCTCATCTGCCGTATGTGCTATACAATAATGTGCGTTATGATTGGAAGCTTTAAAATGTGAATATAAATACTCAAATACCACATAATTAAATACTTGGCTGCAATATATTTAAGTTATTAAGTGAAAAAAGTTATATTCTCCAGCTGCTAAGTTTCGGTGACTAGTCATTTAAACCAAATATTATCTATAATTTATATAAAAACATAGTAAATAAGTAGAAAATTAGAGAAAATACTAATTTAAGTACATTAATAAAGACATTGAATCAACTGAAATGACAACCAAAAAGCACTAAGTAATGCACAAATGTACACTTGCCTTAACTATTAAATATAACGCTGTTTCCTATTTGATTGTTTTGTTAAAAACATATATTATATTGAACGTAAAATAAGATTATGTCGTGATTTGTGTTTAAACTACTTTTGTTATATAAATAATTTAAATATTATTCAAAATTTTTGACGTTTAAAATAACTACTAAAGTACTGTTGGCAACCCTATGCTGTTGTTTGTAAACAAAAACGTGCTTTCGTAGTTGTGTGTTCATAATGCTTAGTAATAACGGTACCTTTTGAAATGCTACATACTCATTTTTCATATAAAAAATATTTAGGTACATACTTTAAACAATTAAAAATGCTGGCTGAACTTTAACAGCTGAGGCAAACTAGCATAAAATTTATACATTTACATATACTAACATCAAACATTTATACAACTAAAGCAAAAATAATATAATACCCAAATATGGAATTATAATACTTAAGTATGGAATTATAATACTTAAATATAGAATTATAATAATCAAACACGTAATTATAATACTCTAAAATCAAAATTTAATAATAATTTTATAATTAAGCTTTAAAAGGCAAACAACCATGCAACTCATTTAACATTCTAGTCAATTCATTCAATAATTTTAGTTGTGTTAAAAATGTTTACAATCAAAGGAATTGTTTATAAGCCGTTCAGATAGCCACTTAATTGAGTTAATTAGCAAATTTTCGCTAAATAAATATTTTATATAAAATTGAGTCAATTAGCAAGTTTTTTTATGTAATTATTTTTTTTTTAATTTATATAGCGCAAAACTTGCTAATTGACGCAATTAAGTGGCTGCCTTTAGTTCTTATAACATAATTATTTTACTAAGCAAAATAAAATATAAAATTTGTGAATATATAAAATTATGAATTATATTATAACAATTAGTGAAAACGAAGTGCTTTATAAAACAATGCTTTGTTGCCTATTATTATTACTATACAAGTATATTATAAAGTAAATCGTATTATAAGCATATGCTAACAGTAAATCTCGGCAACTAAAACCAAAGACATCTTTCAACAAAAATGTTTATAAAAAGGCTAATTATTTATTTGTTAAACTTATATTTTATACTTATGATACCATTTACGTATGTATGTATGCTTTGCAATAATTGTTATATTTATTTATTTGTTGTTTAAAAAATTGTTGATTTTTTTTGTGTTATGTAGTATCACTATGTTATATACAGATGATTGTGATTTTTACTCTTATTTTTAACGCTTTTAATAAACTTTCATAAAACATATGTATGTATTTATAGTATATAATTGATTGATTAAAAAGGGATGACAACTAGTGATGATCGCAACTAATTTAAATATCTCAAAAATACTGTTATATTCACTTGCAAGTCAGAAAAAACGCGTTTTTTAAAATATTTTTTGTAAAGGCATTTAATTTAATCGGTCATTCACTTTGAAAATTTTTGGATACCTTTGATCCCATAACCGATCTCCACGATGACCTCCGTAAAAGTAAAACTAAAACTTACAGATCCAAACAGGGTTAGCTCGCCGAAATAATAGCGCTTGGTCGGTTAAAATCTGGGTCAATTCCGGTAACGTAGAACCGGCTGTTTTGGGAATCGGCCGGTCACAAACTAGGCCGCACCGATGAGGTCGCCTGGATGTAGTGCAACGCAGTCGAAGAATCTTCAGTCATGTCAGAAAACTGCACTCCGAACTATCACAGAATGCCTCTTGGTGTCTCCTTTCGAAACCTAAAGAGCGAACTCGTATGCTCCTGGTTAAGGAATATAACGGGCTTCTCTCCAAGCTTTCGCACAAACCATCCCTGCTGTCGTTTGCTTGCAACGGAACCGCCTCCCAAAATATCAAGAGGTCCTTCGTTGACTACGTCGACGACATTGAACAGTACACTGACTATGACATGCACTGACCGCCATTCACAGTGGAACCATTGACACCTTCACCGACTCCCTCTTAGTGAATGGCGTACTTGGAGTCAAACCACCATCCATCGCAAACGATCTGAAGAGCTCAAGTTGCTACGACAACCCTTGCGCAACTTCGTTCTGGATACTGTAGCAGGTTAAGCTCCTACCTATCCAGAATCAACTCCGACATACTAAATATATGTCCAGCATGCAATGAGTCTCTGCGTGACACTAACCACCTCTTTCCATGCCCAACGAACGCCACTCATCTAACACCTTTCTTCCTATGTTCCGATCCCGTCGAAACAGCTCGTTTCTTGGCCCTTCCGTTAGATGACTTCGACAGCAACCAAATTGAACCTTACCACTCAAGCGGGGTTTAGATGACCGTTTCAACAACAACAACAGAAGCTTCGAAAAAAGGTGTCCGAAAATCAAATCTATTTATAATGACCATAGATGAATATAGGTAATGATCGAAAGATTTGATTTGAAAAAACTTACACTTTAGAGTGGCTTAAAAAATCAAAATTATCAAAAATCTTATTCCTTCGATCATTACCTGACAAATATACCATAGAACAGATATAACCAGACACTAGACACTTTCAGTTTGATGTCTATATTACAGTACAAGTATATTGCAGTACAAGTATATTGCAGTACAAGTATATTGCAGTTAACCTAAAAGTGGCAAACTTTATTTTCCTTTTAACTCTCCGACTATGACATTTAACAATCAACTAGCTTAATAGCAAATCCCTAACTATACCTCAGCATCATCTCGGCTATTCATTCCAACATCACTCAACATAATATGTAGTACCCACTGCACATACAGCCACCTAATATTCACCATAATATCATTGTCAAAATTGAAGAGATCAGTAAAAAATATCGACAGCAACATTGAGAACCCTAATTCGGGCAACAACCTGAGATATTGTATTAGCACACGAGTTAATGCTCCTCACTTTACTCTTTGGGTGATCATGCTGAAAACCATATTGATAGTTGATGGGAAAGCTCGACAGATACAAGTATATCCATTAGAAGCATGATCTTATTACATTTTAACTGCTGAGTGAATACTCCTAATGGTCCTCGTTTGCCAACTAGCACAAGCGGACTAAATGATTGGACACCTATGTAGACATCTACAATATAACACCACTTCTGACGCTAGTAAACTATGGAGAGCCACCAAACACAATAATCATGCGGTTGTCAAATTTGAGTTGGAAACCATCGCAAACACTAAGAAGTGGGTTGATGAAACAAAACTCCTCTCTATTCTTGCTGCCGTTTGTCGTATTGTATAACTGAAAAAAGGTAGATGATTCACAGCCAAGAGAGTTTATTCTGGCCTATCACAATCACTTATCTTGCATATCATAACAACAAAAACCACTAACGATCCCAACCAAAAGGACGCTGCGTTCTCATCGTTCTAGTAGTAGAAGCTAAAAGTTATACCACCTCCCATAGCGAACGAAGAGCTCGAGTTGCTTCGAGAATCTTGAGTGACCCGTGTGCAACTTCTCCCCGTTATATAACTTCGATGACAACCAACTTGAACATTACCACCCGTTTTTAGCCATCGATATACTGTTGAGAAACGGCCAGACTGTGAAAAAATTGGCGCGAAGCATGCTAATTTTTGTAATGTATTTTACGATCTACGAGTAAACGACTATAAATTACCTAACATGCTTATGCAGTGGTTGAGATTGGGGGGAGATCGGGGACAATTTCTCCAAGGCCCGGAATTCTTAGAGAGTCCGGAGCTCTGTAATAATGTTTTGCAGATTCTTGTCTCCAACAATTCACTACAATTATCCCCGGACTGCAATTTGCTCTCTACGACCCTGCATTCAGGCATCATATCAGGAGCGCCTTAAAGTACTGCGATAAGCCTTTGTCTTAAAATGCAAAAGGGGCGACTTCGTTCAAAGTCGACAACCTAACCCAACCGATAGCGCTACTAATATATGTATACTTCACCAAATTTTACAAACTTATGTACATATACACACATGGCTATACAAAGGTCCACATGTTAGCAAAAAGTCGGCATGTGCTTGCGGCAGTCCGTTGCATTTCAATTCGCGAATCCTTGTGATGCTTTCAAAAATGATTTTGGTCAAATGCTAACGCAGTGCAAGTCTGCAGAACTGCAGAACTGGCGCAGTGAGAGTAAAATATTTATAACCGCAAATGGAAACGCCCAAGCGGATTGGTGTGCACCAGCAATATGAACAGCGGCGGTAATATCAACGAAAATGAAGTGGGTGGTGGTTTAGTGGGCATGTGGGGGATATGTGTGGTTAAAATGACGTCTGTTTGTATATATGTGAGTATAAACAATAAACAGTTAAGCAGACATCCAAACATATACATGTGTGCGAAGTAACAATTATAAATGGATTGGGGCAGTTAGTGCAATAAAAATGCAACCGAGCCTCACATACCTATGTACCAACATACATACATACATACATACAGTCATATGTATAAGTAGTTACATAGTTGTTGGCGAGTCCGCAATCAAAAGTACGAGTGGCAGCATATTGCCATGGCAATAAATTGCAAAGGTGGCGCTGGTGGCGTTCGACGTAGCCGAATGTTGTAGCCGCCAACTGCTGCACCAGCCAAGCCAGAGCAAAGTTGAAATTGGTCAAAAGTTTAAAATATCTGGCCCTCACTCTCTTTGTATGCGCACACAGTAAGCACTTGCGGGCTTTCATATGTGTGTGTTTGAACTTTTATTCGTAGGGACTAAACAGAAAGTTCGATGCGGATATGGGCGTATATTAGCCTTTTCGCCATTTAAGTACGTCCACTTATGTTTCTGCACACATAACCCCAAAATCGCTACTCATACACACATGCGAACAAACGGATTTTCTTATATGCATATGCATGTGTGTACTAAGTATGTATGTACGAGGGTGGTTCAATAAGTATTTTGCTTTATCGCCTGCTGGCTGCACTATCGCAAGATAAATCAATTATCAGGTAGGACGTTCTTGTTGGTGTAACGGATATATGTATAGTTAATGTGTAGCTCATTCTCACAAACAGCTACTGTCAAGTTTTGAACTGAATCGGATTTATAGTTTTGTTTTGACCTCGTTTAGAAGTGGGGTTTCCGCTGATTTTAGAAATATTGTCATTTTAGTCGGAAATGTGATGATCTCCGTTTTGTTTTTTGAGATTTACAAGTTGTGATCTTCACGGCAGCGACCGAATTATTGGGTTGATTCGATACTGAATTTCAGAAAAAAATTCCATTTAGCGAAGAAAATAGTGTTCTTCCATCACGACGTCGCATCGCCTCAAATCTCTGCCATCGCCACGGTAAAATTGGTCATATTAGGCAACCAAGTGCTGCTCCACTGGGTTTTCCGGATTTGGCACCGTGCGGTCCAACTTGCAAAAGGCACTCGACGGATAGCAAGTTGAGTCGAATGAGCGCTTAAACAAATTGGAACTTCTTTGGGTACTCTGGGTACAGAGTTTCGAGCTTAAATCTGCATTTTTTTTAATTTTCAATTTTTTAAAAATTTTCCTTTTTTTTAGGCTAAATATTTACCATACTTGTACTTGTGTTCCACGAGACTGATAAGAATTTGAGCCGAATGAGCGAGTTATAACTGCCACGAAGGCTTATTTTGCAGACTTTTAAAAAACCTTTCAGACGGGTGAAACAAGTGGGAGCTTCTCTGCGTACACTTGTTTCAGAGCTTCGAGCTTAAATCGGCATTTTTGCAAATATTTATCGTTCCGCCCTTGTGTTACACGAGTCGTGTACCATATACGGATGTATGTGTGCATGCATTTACACATTTCCATGAAAAATAGGGATATGTGTAATTTTCTTGTTACTGTCGTTGTTGTTGCTTTCTGTTGTGTTGCCACTTTTTGTTCCACATTGGTTGGCCACGGGCCACATACTTTCGACCAACTACCCACTGCTCAGTCGATTGGCATGCGAACTTTACTTATTTGTGCTTCAGTTCTGCACTCATGTTCCCATTGTGGAGCGGCTCGGTCGGTTGAATGGTCGGTCGGCAGGGTATCCGCACCTTACCGTCAGGCATTTGGTGGTAAACAATTGAAGTTGCTCATTTTTTGCTGTAACAATTGTTTTTATTGCTCCTTCACAAAGGCACAAACTCTTTTGGCAACAACCACTTGAAATATTTATTTGTTTGGCTTGTTGCCACGACGTCGCATCTGAAAGCGTACCATAAATTTACATAGATAAGTTTGTATTTGTATATATACTATACTTGTATGTATGTATGTCTGTATTTGGCTCTGAGCGTTGGCAATATATTGTGTTG